TCCTCTTTTTTTCCAGGAAGTTTCCTTTTTCAAGTTCTCTAAGAACTACAGCTTCCTCACCAGTATGTGCTCCAGAGGCACAGAACTATTTCTTCATGCCATTCAAATATACATGTTTGGGGCAGGATAAAACCCCTGTTTTATGTTAACCACAGGATATAAGGTAACCACAGATTTTTGTTGTTGTTTACATTCATGATGACTTCATCCATTAACACTTAACTTTAACTTGGACATTACTGTCGCCAGAAGCCTTCCTCGGTTTCCATTTGCTGGGTAAGATACCCAACCTCTGTGCTCTCACCATTACCCTTTGCCACTCATAAAATGGGAGTTTTTAAAGCTTGTCTCCCTGTCTAGGCTGTATTTGCAAATAAGGATCATATCTCATTTAAGGTTGATACTACCCACCAACATGGAGTCACAGCAGGATCTATTATGATGGGTTGGACATTTTAAATGGTTGATATGGGTAGAAACTGGTTATTAAATACTCCCAATATCACATGTGGCCTTATATCAATACTCAGCATAATCACAACATCCGGCATATGGAAGGTGCTCCGGTAGTGCTTATTGGCTTAATGACAGATTTATTGACTGAATAAATAAACATTGTGCATATCAGAATCTGATTGACAACGGGACCTGTCACTAAAGGCATGAATTATAATGAAACATTCTTAATATGCAAGATCCTTTGATCCCTACAGATCCCAATGATGCTAATGCCTGCAAAGAAATACTAGCTCATGCCTCCATGAGGCCTTCCTATGAATCCGTCTCCGAACCACTACTGTCTTTGCGGTCTTGATCCTGTCCCAACACAAACATGGTAACCGAAGCATAATGACCAAGACGGATGGTCTCTGGGTACTCAGAGTTCGGAGCAGTAGATCCCTTACCTGTCTGTGTTGTTGGGAGACTTGGTACCCCAGTCCTGTGGCAGGCTGATTCTGCATTTTCTGAAGCAGGATCTTTTGCTGAAGCGGCAAGGGTGACCTCAGCAAAGGCTGGCTTGGAAGAGGCTGGGTGGGCTGGGCTGGGGGCTGCTGTGCCTGCTGCTGCTGCTGCTGCTGTTGCTGCTGCTGCTGTTGCTGCTGTTGCTGCTGTCGTTGTTGCTGCTGCTGCTGCTGAGCTGACATCGAGCTCTGCTGTTGCTGCTGCTGTTGGGTGTAGTGTAGGAGAGAAGGTTTGTTCTGAGAAGGCAAAACAGAAGGCATCTGTTGGTTTGCTTGATCTGAGTTAAAATGGAACAAAGGCTTGGTGTTGCTGAGACGGGGCTCCATGGCCGTGTGTGAGCTGTTAATAAAACTTCGACTGAGGTCCTGAGGCTTTTGCTGCATGAGCACATCCAGGTGCCCTCCCTGGGCCGAGGGGCTGGCCTTGTACATGTAGTTAGCCATGACTTTTGACTGGCTGCTGCTGCCGGCTACCCCAGGCATGGGAGAGCCCTGTGGGCTGAATGGTTGCTGACCGAAAGAAGGGCTGGGGATTTTCTCCTGCCCAAATGGACCTGGAGACGGCCCAGCAGAAGAGGGCAAGGCTGACCAGTTGGTAGGCTGGTGCTGCTGCTGGTGCTGCTGCATCCGGGCGTGCTGTTGACGGTTGGCAGCTATCTGTTTGAGCTGTTGGGCATGGGATACTTCCTGCCAGCTCGGCAGGGCCCGGCTTGCTCCTGAGGCTGTCTGGGGCTGAGCCTGGCTCTGAGGAACTGAAGGGATTGGGGATGAAGTGGACAGGGCCGAACTGGCCATGGAGAATGCAGGGCCAGCTGATGGGGGCCTCAACTGAGGAGAGCCCGATGGGCCCTGGGTCAGACCAGGCGAGTATTCACTTTTGATCACTGTCTTCTCCATAGGCAAGGAGGGCCTGGGAGTGCTCCTCTGGTTTTGCTGACCTAAGTCAATGTTAAATGGATCATCCTGCTTTATGGTGGCGTTGATCATGTTCTCCAGCTCAAGGTCACTCATAGGAGGCACAGAAATGTTGGTCAGTTCATTGAACAGTTCCTGCAGTTCAGGATCCATCAGTTGCTCTCCAGGGTCATCTCCATACCTATTAGAAAAAATATTCTCTTGGGCCATTTGGCCATCCATGTGCTTACTGCAAGATAGAGTCTCTCCTGGTTCCTTCTTCACTTCCTTCAAACCCATGTTAAATATGCCATTCCCAGGAGAATGTGCATGGGGAGGCAGGTTGTTAGTCTTTCTCAGAGGTGCTTGGCTCATGGGCAAGGTCCCAGACATAATCTGACTTTGTCCATTGTTTACTTGGAGGCCCCCTTGTCCTGCAGAGAGGTTCTCCCCAACACGGATTCTTTTGATATCAAGGAATGAGTTGTCTACAAAGCCATTGGGCCTCTTGCTGTTGGCAGGAGACAGGTTAACGATCTGTTTTCTTTTCAAGGAACCCTGGAGCTGAAAGACAAGAGGCGAAGTAAAAAAAATGAGACATGAATCCAGATGTGCTTCTAATCAGAAGTGATATAATATTTAAATGTTTCTTCCATTTATACATAGGATGAATTAAAAAAGAAGCACCAATGAAGTAGAGTCTGGAATATAATGAAACTCACAGTGGCACAAACAAAACACAATAAAATGTTTCTGGAGGGGCAGATCAATTAGTGGTTAGAGATTGCTGTGGTTCCCATGATTGTGACATAGGCCAATGGGTGAAGAATCCTGCATATGTCATCAGGGGCTATTGATAATATCTACAGTTAATCACCAAAGTGTTGTTGCGTTCTGTCTCAGGTCAAAATATTCCACGTGCATGCACACAGCCCCACACACCAGTAGACGACGGTGAACACAACTCTGACCAAGATGGAAAACACTGAAGAGTTTAAACTGGGATACAATTTCCAGTTTTTGTTTTGTTTTGTTTTTTTTCACAGATTCAACCCTTTCATTACTATTATCCTCTAAGTAAGCAATTAGAATTATTGTTGTGCCCAGGGAGATATGCTATCTGGTGTTCATCTACTTTTCCTCCTATAATTCTGTGGCTTTGCATTCGGGCCCATGCAACAACACTGTGTGGGTGCACAGAAACCATGATTTTATCATTCATCAAATGGGGCACTCTCGGCACAGACTTTCCTAGGGATTCATTTCTTCTGTTGCCTGTCTCTGAGTCTTATGACCAAAACCAAGGTGTAGAGAGGCAATACCATACGGTGGTTAAGAACACAGGCTGTGGGAGTCGGCTGGGCTGAGCTAAATTCCAATTCTGTCACTGAGTGCTAACTGACCACAACACTTGACTTATCTGTGTCTCCAGTTTCCTTATCCAGAAAATGGGGACAATAGCACTTAACTCACAGAAAGAAATGAGATAATGCATGTAAAAGTGTAGCACAGTGCTTGCTATAGTAAGAACTCAGTAAACTATAGTTCATATGAAAACCATGGCTTACTATATTCTCAAAGGAGAGGGCTTCTCTAAATAGCAACAAGAACAACAAAACGTTAAAGAACTTCATTCACTAATTCAGTGATTCGATTGTATGACATGAGCTTCAGAATTTTTAGAGAAAGGTTTGTCACACCAATCATACAGTCACACCAATAAATGAGAAAGAAACATAAAGCGTTCATCACTGATCTTGAGATCCTTGTTGCTTTGCCTCTGGAGTGAGAGACGACATCTATCAACCTGTTTTCCAGCTGACCTGCTTAAATTATTTAATGTTTGCCCAGGATAACTGTAAAATACCTGAAGCAAAAGGATACTTCCCAGATTGAAAGTCTTATCATTTCTCTTTTACTCCCTTCTCATTTACGCTCTTAAAGATTTCTAGGTAACCTAATTAGGAAAGTGTAACTGAGGGTTTATTATATGCCATATATTTTCAGTATGGTTACTTTATTTTCCTTAGTCTTTACAACCATTAGATATGTATTATTTTATAGATAAGGAAACCAAGGCTCACAGAGGCTAAGTAACTTGCCCAGTGTGTCACACAGCTAGGAAGTGTTAAACCTGGGCTTTAACTTAAGGTCTGCGTAGTTCGAAAGCCTGTGTCATTTCCACTATATTATGCTGGAATTGGCTTGTTTAGGGTTAGGGTTTGCCCAACAAGAGGGGACAGAGGGAAGCGAGCAGAGATATCCTGGATCTCTGGTAAAATGATGAGGAATCTGGGAATGGACAGGATCCAACACAGAGCCAAATGCGAGAACGATGTTTATTGTCATCAGTGCCATTTTCAATAATCCTTTATCTGTGGCTTTGCCCATTCCCAGGTGGTATATAGTTGTGGTGGATGTGCCATGTTAGTTTAACCAGTTTTTGCCTTTTACCATTGCTAACTGGTAATCAGAGCAAGGAACCTGACCCAAGCTGAGCCAATCAGTTCCTTCCATGGTAATTCTGGAATTAGAAAAAGGGAAACTAGGCTCTCTTTGGGTGGCTGCACAGTGATCTACAAAACCTGCAAGCTGTTGTTCCATTATGTCAACCTGAGCCATAGAGAGAGTAAGTCTGTAGAAAGAGAAGAATGGAGCATAGAGGAGAGATACAAGGTTTGAGAGCATTTGAGAGCCTGATTCAACCCTAGATCAGCTCTGCAACTCTCTTGGTCGTACTTGATATACTTTGTAATCTTTATAATAAATTCCCCTTTTTGCTTAAGCTTATATGAGTTGGGCTTCTATTATTTTCAACCAAAACTCTCAATGAAGTCCCATGTGACTTCACATTCAGTAATGAGCAATTTGCAGCAAAGGGTAGGTATAATTTGTACCTGGGTGTGAAGCTCCCCCCTCCCTTCTCAGCTGTCTCTGCGTGCTCCCAGACTCCTAGACTTGTCCACTCCCTGATGCAGGCAACATCATCACAGGATACTGTCACCACATTCAGTAGAGACTCCAAGTTGCCACTGTCTTGGGGGTCAGAAAGAGCACAGACTAAAGAGTTTGGCCATGTTACCTCAAGAGTAGCTGCACTGATTTATTTCAGTATAAGTTATATTTTGAAGGTTCCTTCACAACCAATAAAGAACAAACAAAGGAATACATTCTTTTTTTCCTGGTTTAGGTTATCACCTTTGATTTATTTTCCTCTGCTTTGGGAAAAACCTGTTCTGCCAGATTCTCCCATTGCTGTGGCCGCTCCCTGGGCAGTGGCGAGGATACTCCAGGAAGTAGCACTTTCTCTAAGCCACCAGGATCGTAGAGGCAGTGAGAGAATTAGTACTGGTTGTAGCAGTATTGATGCTAATAATAATAACAAAATCGTTTATTGAGGGCTGTGTGCTAGGCATTGCGCAAAGCTCTCTGTAGGAGTAACCTCTTTGGACTCTCATGACTCAGAATCCTCATAGCAACTCTATGAGACTGATACGACAGTCATTTGTTGCTTAGCGATGGGGATACATTCTGAGAAACGCGTTGTTAGAGGATTTCATCATTGTGCAAACATCGTAGTGTACTTATACAGACCTACACGGTATAGCCTACTACACACATAGGCGACATGGCCTAGCCTATTGCATCCCTTTACAGCATGCTACTGTACTGAATAGAAGACTGCAACGCAGTTATAAGGATTTGTGTATCTAAACAGAAAAGGTACAATAAAAACATGTTATAAAAGATAAAGTTATGAAGAGGGGGCAGGGGGACTGTGGAGGGAGGCACTGTTGGAGGGAGGGAGAGTATATGTCAGAAGGAAGGAGGAAGGAAGAGAAGGAAAGAAGTGGAGGGAAAGGGAGAACAGAGATCAAAAGAGACCCAGAGAGGCTGATGTTGCTCAGTGGTTAGAGCACTGCGTCCCGAAGGGTCACAGGTTCGATTCCCTGTCAAGGGCTGCAGGTTCGCTCCCTGCCCCGTCAGGACATGAGCAGGAGACAAGCAGTTGATATGTCTCTCTAACATCGATGTTTCTCTCTCTCCCTCTCCCTCCCTCCCTTCTACTCTCTGAAAAGCAATGGAAAAAATATCTTCAGGTAAGGATTAGCAAAATAAAACAAGCAAACAAACAAACAAACAAAAAGCTTGAGATGAGAGATAATAAAAGGGAGAGGGAAGGAGAGAGATTCAAAGATGGAGGCAGGAGGGAGGGAGAGAGAAAGAAACTGGCCTGGGATATCAGAGAGCAGGCTCCTAGGCTCCTCGCGCTCCCTCACCAGCTCCAGCCCGGGCAGTGGGCAGGTGCATGGCAGTTATTTTACTTCTATGGGCCATAGTTCCCTTCTTTATAAGAACACTTTCCCACCTGAACCCAGAAAATAACAGGCACTGAGGCAGTGCCACCAAGTCTAGCTGAATGGATGACTTAAGATGAGGAACAGAAGTCCTCCTTAGTAATGTTGTGGAAAACAAGTCATGAATAAAAGACATTCCATTAGGACTCCATTGGGTATGCTACTTTATCAAGAGAATTGTGGAGACAGTCTGTATCCTGTCTTACAGAGGCTTCTGATCAAAGTCATGTCACCAAGGCCCACTGAATGCACAGATGCTGTAAGTACCAGCTACTGGAACAATGCAATGTAAATGATTCTCTATTTCTTTGTAAACTAAAAATTCATCATCAGATACATAGCTTTTTTT